TAATGAAGATGGGTGCTGAGTGTAGTCTTCTGTCCTCAGTCCCCACCCTGGAGGCTAGGTGGAGGCTGAGCTACAGCTTCGGTGACATTAAGACCCTCGGGTCTCCCTGATCGGTAATGCTCTCACCCTGGATCCCCCAGGAAGTCTGGGGCCATCCTCCAACCCCAGGAAAGGACCTGGGCAGGAAGCTTCAGTGGGTTGGCTCTGGTCCCTCTCAAGGGAATGAGTTAAAACCGCCCTTAGCCTGTCTTCTTTCCGGAGGCCTGGTCTCCTCTGTGGTTGAATTTCTGAGCTGGACTGCCTGGGTTGAAGCCCCAACTGTGCCAGGTAGTTGACTGTGTGACCTTGGGCAAGTAATTTCATCTCTCTGAGCATGTTCATCTATAAAATGGGGACAATGGCACCTACTTTATAGGGCTGTTGTGGAAATTAATTTTCTGATTTTGTATAGTGCCTGGCATGCTGTGCATGCTCTAGTATAATAGGGCTCTTTTATCCACAGTACTGAGGGCCCCACAAGACTGCCCCTGGCTGCTGCCTAGAGGCAGACAACTGGGCATTCAGGGCAGGGGAGGAGGTTACCATAGGCAGGGAACAACGGCTAGGAAGCCTCATGGCAGGGGCGGTGGCTGAACCTCAAAGAACAGATGGCATTTGGAGAGAGAGTGGCCCTCTACCCTAGCTTCATTTATCAGTAATCCTGCCCCAGCTCCCTCTGTGAGAGCAACTCTTGGGACCTCTCTCTGGTAGTGGGGGGCAGGTGCTGGAGTGGACCTGAGCCCTGCAGTTGCAGGAGCAGCAGAGCCCAAGGCTGCCAGACAGAGCCGGGGAGGGGACCATAATGGCAGGTCTAGGCCTGTGCATCTGGGTCCCTGGGGGACCAGCTTCTCTCTCCTCTCTGAGCCAGGCAACAACCATTCTTGGCTGGGCCCCCAGAGTGCTGAGCTGCCTTGCTCAAGCAGACACTAGTAGAGGGAGGGAGCCTGGACCAATCTGATGTTACTGCCAGTTGAGCTGTAACTGGCAACAGCAGGTTTAGAATTTAGGGTAGCTCTGGGACAGAACTTCCTTATGGGATGTTTGGAGGTCAGGTTGACCTGTCTGGGTCCTAGGTAACTTTAAAGGTTGTTTTGCAACTGTGGGGGCTTCCAGCCCGTGTACCACAATGTGTTTCCTATTTTGGACGAAGTTCATAGCCCTTAGAAATGGGGCAGCTGTGGGGGATGGGTAGGGGAAAGGGCTTCATGGGAACCCTTTTCTCTATAGAAGGTGAGAACAGGGTTCCAGGGATCTCCACCCTTTTGACCCTAATCACCCAGGTCTGAGGGTTGCTCCTCCTGGATTACCAGCCCTGAATCCAGCTTAGGAAGCTATTTGTGGCAGAGGGAAAGGGGGCAGTTGTGTTCTGAGCCCTCAGCCACTCTGCCCCTTTATCTGGCCTTACCCTGGGTCCCAGGCCTCATCCTTCCCTTGGCAGAAGGGAGGGAGTAGGTGCAGTGTTTTGAGCCATGGGCATTCCATTTCTGTCATGTCCTCTAAGGGCAAAAGGGCTAATGATTCAAGGTGCAGTAGAAGAGACTGAGGGCAGACTGCAAGAACTTATTCCCACGTGAGAGAGAGGAGAGGCCCCGAAAGCAAGAGAATGTGGAGGAGAAGGAAGGGTTTTCCAGGGAGCTGGAGTTGGGCCACTAGGATCCTGCTCCCAGTTCTGCCACCTCTTCTTGTCCCTGCACCTTCTTTCCACATCTTGGGATTGGTGCTTACTTTCTGTGAAAATAAAGTGTGTATGGGGTGAGGTGGGTGTTGCCCACCTACATTCCTTCTCCTCTCTCCACACCCTGGACTGTGGTGGACAGGCCAGGGATCAGGCCCCTCCCCAAGCCCTGTGTAGCCCCTGCTGGACCCCAAGGTGCCAGGAGGCTCCTGGGAGGGCTTCCTGGAGGGGGCTGCCCCAGGATTGGGGAAGAGAGAATGACTTTACATTCACTTCCTCTTCCTGCCCCAGAGGAATTGGAGGTGGCCCAGGGGCTTGGAGGGTGATTTCCGGGCCTCTCTGGGGAGGATGTGATGCTGGGCAGGCTGACAGACCAGACCCACCACTGCTCCTTTCTATTTGCTGCCAGGGCCTCCCTGAGCACTTGCTGCTGCAAGAGAAGTGAGGGTTGGATCAGGCGCTGATATTCCTAAACTTCCTCTGGCAGGACTCACCACTCTTCCTGGTTCCTCTTTTGGGCCTGAGGACTCCCTTTACCCCCATGCACACCCCCAAATGCACCTGCCACACCCTCTTCCTGGCTTTGCTTGTACTCTTCACTATGGGGGTGGCTCAGAGCCAAGGCCGGGTAGATGACCTTTGAGGGGGTTCCCTCTCTTTGCTAAGACTTCCTCCCATTTGGAGATCAACAGGGGTTGGGGGCAAAGGTGGCCCCCTTCCCCCAATATTATAGGCTCTGGGCTTGAGTCAGCAGAGCTTTGACTAAGCTGCTTAAGGGAGCTGGGCTGATATAAGCCGCTTATGGGGAGAGGAGGGGGCTGGGAGGTGAGGAGGAGCAGGGAAGGGGTTGTCTGCCTGCCCTAGTATGACCCAGGTCAGGGAAGTCCTTGCCTAATGCACTTAGATGTAGTTCGAGAGGCAGTTATGTGGTGGAGGTTGGGGGGGGCGGGGGGGAGGCGTCCTTCAGAGTAGCACTATGTATCTCCTGAGGCAAAGCTGTGTCACCCCCTTTAGAATGAGGTTCTCAAAGGCAGGGCTGTACCTTTCCTTCCGTGCTGGGGACTGCTTATTAGATTGGAGACCCATCTGGCTCAAAGTCACTGAGTTAGCCCTGGCAGAGCAGAGGCTGGAATAAAGCCCCTCAACTCCAGGATGGGAGGGACTGTGGGGGGAGGTGACCTTGTCTTCCACTCACCTTCACCCTGCTCCTCCCTGAGCTCAGAGGCTACTAGGATGGCGCTGTTTGTCTCCCATTAGATCCCAGAGACAGGGCTA